TTGCATTATTTAATTTCCATCCAACTTTGTCCCTGGAAGTTGCAAGCCTTAAATGGACTCCAGAGTTCCAAGATACGGTGACCCTTTAACAACGCATGTATGAACTGCATGGATTATATGTAGTTACCGGAGACAGATTCTGGCAGTGCAATTGTCTAGGTGGGGAGACAGAGTCCTGGTGGTTCTAATCCATCATCTTTCTAGAATTTTCTCCTCTTACTTACTTTTTTAAAAAGAGGTATTTGGAAAAGGTGCTAGGTACTAACACCATGCATTTGCCATGCATTTCACAATTAGTACCAACACCCCAGGGGTCAGGGCCTTTCTGCTGAGGACTTTTGCTTCCAGGTAGGCTAATGAAATTGAATCCTTCAACTATGACGGTATGGAATTTTTACCATTTAACAAGGAGTCATTTGCTATTCAGGGATAGCCTATTCTTTGGTTTAAAAGGTCAAAGCAGTACAAGTCATGGCAAAAACTAGTTTTGATTTAATAATAATAATATGTCTGTTGCTCAGCCTTAGTTTTCATGTTTACATCAGTGTCTTTTCTGCCCCATTCCAAGGGCAGACTACCTCTTCTCCCAGAAGTGGGCCTTCTACTCCTTCCCATCCTTATTTTGATCATGTTTTGATTAATCTGTGAGTTCCTATGTACAACATATATATATTTCCTAATCTGTCTTTTGTCCGTTTAATTTGCAGGTCCCTAATCACAAACATAGGAAAACCAGAGGCTTGATGCACGAAATTTGTGCAAAAGTAGGCCTTCCTCCCCCGGCTTCCAGCACAGGCTCCCCGCTGGCACCTGTGACCTGGGCTTCCCTTGCAGCCCTGGCTTCATCCTGAAGGTCATCTGCTTTTATGACTATAGATAGAGAAAAAGTACCTGTAGTGATAAAAATGTGAACGAAGATGAGCATTTTCTAATCATCTTGAGTAGATTACTAAGCCAGTCTGAATCTCCTTTTATTTCATCTGTAAAATGGCATAGTAACTTACTTTATTTCTCAAGGTTGCTGTAAGGGTTAAATTAGACAATGTACATGAAGAGCTTAGTATAGTGGCTAGCACATACTAAGCAAGTGTTCATTAAATGTTAGCTTTGGCTATTGTTGTTCATCTTGATCCTTGTAGCCTTCACAGCAGTTTTGATATTTTATGATTTTGATGACTATTGAGTTAGTTTGGATTGAATTTGGCACATTTTGGCCTGTAAGAGAGGAAAATTAATTTCTCCCCTATCCTTTGGATTCTTGGCAGAAACCCTGGAATAAAAGACAGAAAGCCTTGGCCCGTGTGGTTGGAGCATTGGCCCATGTTAGAAAGGGTCATGGGTTTGATTCGTGGTCAAGGGCATGTACCTGGGTTTCAGGTTTGATTCCTGGCCCCTATTGGGGCACATGTGGGATGCGATGAATTGATCTCTCTCCCCCCCCCATAATCATCCTTCCCTTCCTCCCTCCCTTTCATTTTCCCTAAAAATCAATGGAAAAATGGGCAAAAAATACCCTTGGGTAAAGATTAATAAGAACAACAAAAATAATAATAATGGAAAAAGAACCCAAAATGTATTAACATGTTTACCTCATATGTTCATGTGAGATACCCAGGGAAAAAATGAATAACTCTCAGAGGTGGCTTAGAATTCAGATTAAGTACCATCTCAACAGGGAAAGAGGAGATGGGTCATAGGTCTTTTAGGGGAAAGTAAATAATTTTTAGGCAAGATGAATGAACTCTTAGAAGAATAGATTGGAGGTACGATGGTTTGTGACTAAATTTTTCTAGTCTCCTCTCCTGGGCTTAGAGGTGATGAAACTATCTTCCTTGGTTGATATAACTGCCTGGTAGGGGATCTATGACAATTGAGTTCCTCTTTGAGGATCTGTCATTAGGTAGACAAAGAAGTTCAGGGAAAAGCTCTCCCTGCATTTAATGTTTTTCAAGGGCCTACAGATAAAAATAATTCATATACTAGAGCGAGATATTTGTAGTATCATGTCCCAAGCTTTTATGTTAGCCTAAGTAGCTAGATATTAAAAAAAAAAAAAAAAAAAAGGAAGGGAGTAAAAGGAATCCTATATCATAAAACCCTACTATGCAAATTAACCAAACTGCTGAATGACTGGTCACTATGATGAGCACTGACCACTAGGGGGCAGATGCTCAATGCAGATGCTCCCAGGTGAGCGCCACTCATCCCGAAGCTGAGCTCATAGCTGGTGAGCTCAGCAGCAGTGGCAGGAGCTTCTCCCACCTCCACAGTGGGGAGCTGGCCTAAGCTGGCAGGCAGACATCTCCTAAGGGGTCCTGGTCTGAGAGAGAGCACAGGCCAGGCTGAGAGAACCCCTCAGTACATGACTGTCATGCACCAGGCCTCTAATCCAACCTAATAAAAGAGTAATATGCAAATTAAGCATCACTCTGCTACACCCACAAGCTACACCCACCAACCATGCCCACCAGTCAATCAGAGTGAGTATGCAAATAAACCCAACCAAGATGGCTACAGACACAGAGGCTTGGGTTTCCCGGGCAGTGGGGGAAGCCAAGCTTTCTGCCTGCCCTTGCTGGCCTAAGCCTTCACTCCAGGCTACAAAATTTCAATTATAGAAGGTAAACAAATTCCAACAGAAATGGCTGCAGCCACAGAGATTCAGAGGCTTGGCTATGCTCCAAGCTACAAAGTTTCAATTGTAGAAGATACATAAACCCTAGATTCCAGGGTCTCGCTTGGGTTGCCAAGGTGCGTGGCCAACCTGCAAACCACCACAGGCCCCTCTCCCAGGCCGCTCCACATCCCAAGGGAACCCCCACCCTGATCCGGGACATCCTTCAGGGCAAACCAGCTGACCCCCATCCATGCACCAGGCCTCTATCCTATCTAATAAAAGAATAATATGCAGATTGACCATCACTCCATCACACAATATGGCTGCCCCCATATGGTCAAAGATTCTGCCCCTATGTGGACACAAGATGGCCACCACAACATGGCCAGCAGGGGAGGGCAGTTGGGAGGCACCAGGCCTGCAAGGGAGGGCAGTTGGGAGGCACCAGGCCTGAAAGGAAGGGCCGATGGAGGTGATCAACCCTGTAGGGGAGGGCAGTTAGGGGTGGCCAGGCCAGCAGAGGAGGGAAGTTGGAAGCAAACAGGCTGGCAGGGGAGCAGTTAGACATCAATCAGGCTGGCATGGGAGTGGTTAGGGGCAATCAGGAAGACAGGCAGGCGAGCAGTTGGGAGCCAGTAGTCCTGGATTGTGAGAGGGATGGCCGACTGCCCTCTCACAATCCAAGACTTAGGATCGGTTCTATCCCTTGAGGGCTCCCAGGAGCAGTTTTTTGATTTTGCTTCTACAATGAATCTTACCACAAAACCTCAACCTCCATATGTGAATCTCCTGAAATGCTTTCCTTGTGACCCTGTGAAAGGACCCCATTTCCACCTGCAATGCTTACAGTCGTATTTTGGGGTGGCACATTCTGCTGCAGGCCTTTATGCAGCCAATCAACAAGAATTTAGAAAGTGCCCTGGCCGGTGTGGCTCAGTTGGTTGAGTGTCATCCTGCGCTCTAAAAGGTTGCCGGTTTGATTCTTGGTCAGGACACATGTCTGGGTTGTGGGCTCCATCCCTGGTAGGGATGTGCAAGAGGCAGCCAATCAATGTTTTGCCCTCAAATTGAATTTCTTTTGCAGTTCCCCTCCTTTCATCTCTCTCTAAAAGTCAAGTTAAAAATCTTAAAAAAAAAAGAAGAATGATAAAAACAACTATAAGAAAATTTAATTTTCTCTCTCCTTTGATCTTTAAGCCCTTTAAGCATCCATACCTTTAAAAATGTTTTTGTTTTATCTTCTACTAGAGATCCAGTGAATGAAATTGGTGCAAGGGGGGGTAGAGAGGGGGGTCTCTCAGCCCGGCCTATGCTCTCTCGCAGTCTGGGACCCCTCTCTCCTTACCGCCCACCTGCTCGCTGCGCCTTACCGCTAGGCTCATTGCTCCTTAGTGCTGCTGCGGAGGCTCGCACCACCGCCCCTGCACTCCCAGCCGTGAGCCGGCTTCTGGCTGAGTGGCGCTCCCCCTGTGGGAGCGCACTGACCACCAGGGGCAGCTCCTAAGCTGCACGTCTGCCTCTGGTGGTCAGTTCACAGCAACCAGTCATTCCACGGTTCAGTCGGTTTGGATATTAGGGCTTTATTATATGGAATACTAGATTCTAAGTTTCTTGAGCATAAGGATTATCTCTGTGCTATTTTCTATAAAATAGAAACAAAATAGTATAAAATAGTAAATAGATATTTGCTTAATGAATGAATGATTCTCTTCCTGTATTTTTGCCCTGAATTTATTAAATTAAAGACATAATTTATTTTGTGCTAGAGAGATCTGGCCTGACTTCTTACTAATAACTTGTGGATGAAAAAGGGGCCACATACTAAACTTGACAAGCTTGGAGGAGGCCTGTATGGAAAAACTTGCAAACTCAGGGACCTAAATTTGTATGCGACTAAAGCAACCCCACAGGATGGTGTGAAATTAAAATGTCCTAACTAAAAGCGGGTCATGGTGGGTAGCCATGTCCTAGGCCAGTATCTTCCTTGACAAAGGTCAATCTTTACCTTAAATGAACTTGTCTTTTTAAATTTTATTTATTTTATTTTATTTATTTTATTTTATTTTAATTTTTAGATGAAGGCTGCTTTTATTAAATGACCGAACCATGTAATTGCCAAGGCCACTATGTACAGGTAAGAGAGGGGAAGCTTTATTTCTTGGTCTCTTCCTCCTTGGACAGACTTGCTGATCTCCTCCTTCTTGGCCTGGAGCTTCCTTGGTCTTAGACCTGTGGGCCTCGGCCTGGTCAGCCAGAAGCTTCTTGCGAGCCTTGTCTGCCTTCGGCTTGTGGATATGTTCCATGAGAATCCGCTTGTTTTTGAACACGTTACCCTTCACCTTGAGGAACAGGCTGTGGTACTTACATATGGCGGTCAATCTTCTTAGATTCCCTGTATCTTCTGAGTAGCCGGCGAAGAATTCTCATCCTCCTCATCCAGGTTACTTTCTCCCTTTCGCTTACCGATGCCCATATGCCGGCCCTTCCTGCGGGCCAAGGTGTTTTTCCGGCACTGAGCCCGGGAGTGGACAGTCACAGGCTTCCGGATGGTCAGCGCATCTTTGATCAGCTTCCGAATCTGCTGCCGGGAGTTGACATTGGCGATTTCGTTGGTCTCATTGGGGTCCAACCAGACCTTCCTTTTGCCGCAGCGGAGGAGGCTGGAGGCCAGCCTCTTCTGAAGCCTGAGCATACCCAAACCCCGGGGCCCCCGCATCAGGCTGCCTCCCCCTCCTGTCTCCCACCCGGGGCCACGGACTGAGCCCCGCCGCCCTCCGGCAGCCGAAATCACCCCAGGCCGGAGCCCCGCGAGAACTCACCTCTGTCTTTTTAAATTTTAAATAAATTAATTAATTATTAAAAATGGCTTATTTTTTATTTTCTTAAATTAATTCTGATGAAATACACACAACAAAATTCACAATTTTAACTACTTTTAAGTGTACGATTCAGTGACATTAAGCACATTTGCATTGTTGTGCAATATCTTCACCATCAATAGGACTTTTTCAACTTCCCAAACTGAAAATCTATACTCATTAAACAATAACCCCCTCCACTTTGTTCTTCCCTCCCTCAGTCCCTGGAAACCACCATTCTACGTTCTGTCTCTGAATTTGACTACCTCATAGAAGTGGAATCACCCATTTAGTATTTATCTTTTTTTTTACTTATTCTTTTCTTTATTGATTAAGGTATTACATAGGTATTCGTATCTTCCCATTGTCCCTCCTCCCCAGCCCCCCACTCATCCCCTCATCCCCCTGTTTTCTATGTCCATTGGTTAGGCTTATAAACATTCATACAACTCCTTTGGTTGATCTCTCCCCCTTCACCCACCTGCCCCTACCTACCCTCTGAGGTTTGACAGTCTGATCAATGCTTCTCTGTCTCTGGTTCTGATTTTGTTCATCAGTTTATGTTGTTTATTACATTTCATAAATGAGTGAGATCATGTGATATTTATCTTGCTCTGACTGGCTTATTTCACTTAGCATAATGCTCTCCAGTTCCATTCATGTTGTTACAAATTGTAAGAACTCCTTCTTTTTTACTGCAGCATAGTATTTCATAGTGTAGATGTACCACAATTTTTTAATCCACTCATCTGCTGATGGGCACTTAGGCTGTTTCCAAATCTTTTTATTTTCTTTCATTTTTTAAAAATAAATCTTTATTGTTCATATTATTACAAAAGTTCCTTATTTTTTTCCCTCCATTGCTCCCCTCCACCAGGTTCCCACCCCACCCTCTGCCCTTTCCCCACCCCCCATTGTTTTCATCTATAGGTGCACAGTTTATGTTCAGTCTCTTCCCACACTCTCCTCTCCTCTTTTCCCCGAGAATTGTCAGTCCACTCCCTTTCCATACCTCTGATTCTATTATATTCACCAGTTAATATTATTCATCAGATTTTTAAATTTCCTTGGTTTGTAGATTCACTTGTTGATAGTTACATATTTGTTGCTCATAATTTTTATCTTTATTTTCTTCCTCTTCCTAAAGACACCCCCCCCCCCCCCCCCCTTCAGCAAGTCATATAATTCTGGTTTGGCGGTGATGAACTCCTTTAGCTTTTTTTTTTTTTTTTTTAATTTTCTAATTTTTTTTGTTTTTTTTTGTTAGTGAAGCTCTTTATCTGGCCTTCTATTCTGAGTGATAGCTTTGCTGGGTAGATTATTTTTGGCTGTAGGTTCTTGTTATTCATCATCTTGACTATTTCTTGCCATTCCTGTCTGGCCTGCATGGATTCTGTTGAGAAATCAGCTGACAATCATATGGGTGCTCCTTTATAGGTAACTACCTGCTTTTCTCTTTCTGCTTTTAAAATTTTCTCTTTGTCTTTTGCTTTTGGAATTTTAATTATGATGTGTCTTGGTGTGGCCCTCTTTGGGTTCCTTTTGTTTGGAGTTCTGTGTGCTTCCTGGACTTGTAAATCTATTTCTTTCACCAGGTGGGGGAAATTTTCTGTCACTTTTTCTTTCAGTATGTTTTCAGTATCTTGCTCTCTGTCATCTTCTGGGATCCCCATAATTCTGATGTTGGTTCACTTGAAGTTGTCCCAGAGGTTTCTTACACTATCTTCAACTTTCTGGATTCTCTTGTCTTCTTGCTTCTGTGGAGGAGTGTCCTCTGGCTCTTTGTGTTCCAAATCTTTGACTTGATTCTTGTGATCTTCCATTCTGTTTTTAGGACTCTGTATATTTTTATTTCAGATAATGTATTCTTTATTTCTTGTTGATCTCTTTTCATATCCTCATAGGTCTCATTTATTTTATTGGCCTTTTCTAGGAAATTCTTGAAAAACCTTATAATCATGGTTTTGAACTCTATATCCAGTCACTTTTTGTCCTCCATTTCTTTCGTTTGTGATCTGTTTCCTTGTCTCGGCATTTTCCCAGCTTCCCTGAGTTGGTAGGGTGGCTTTGTGTGCTAAGGTGTCCTATATGGTTCAGTGGGTCAGTCTCCCAATTATCTGAGGTGGACACTCTTGGTGCACCCCTTTGTGGACTGTGTGTACAGCCTTTTGTAGTTAAGTCTTGATTGTTGTTGGTATTACTGGGAGGAACTGACCTCCAGTCCAATTGGCTGTAAGGATCAGCTGTGTCTATGCTGGGAGACAGCCTTATTCAAAAGCCTCTGTGCTCAGCTTGGATGGGGCGGAGTTTCAGGGTGGAGCTTACAGCCTTAGCTTCCTGTCTGCCCTGCCCTATGAGGTTCCTGAGTCTCAGTGTTTCTCAGGGTCCTTTGGTACTCGCTGCAAGCACCTCTGAGAGAAAAGTGCCCTCAAGTTTCGCCCACTACCAGACAGTCTAGTCTCTCCCCCAATGAACCTGGAACTGGGGTTCAGTGCAGTTGTAAGTGGAGTTCAGTGCAGTCCAGAGCTTTTGTCTCCTTCCTGCTAGGGCAATCCAGTGGCACAGTCAACAGTCAGTCCTCTGTGCGCAACATGCGCTACTCTGGGGCTCTGCCTTTCGCCGCTCCCCTGAGTTTCCGCCTTACAGCCTAGAATCCCTCTGTATGAGCCTGAGACCCCAGGTCTCGCCCAGGACTGGGCTTCAGTGCAGTCGGAACTGGGGCTCAGCACAGTCCGGAGCTTTTATCTCCTTCCTGCTAGGGAATGCCAACCAGGCACTCAGCTGCCCCTCCTCTCCGGCTCCGTCTCTCCCCATGTGTGTACTGTGTCTCTGTACCTTAGGCTTTTATAGCTCCTCTGATTTTCCTTTTGGTTTTCTCTTTTCTAATTGTATAATTTCCAGTCAGACAACTTTCCTGTAGTTCTGGATAATGTCCACATTATATTTTAGTTGTATTTTTTGAAATTGTGTGAGGCTGCAGTTAGGTGTTTACCTATGCCGCCATCTTGGTTTCTCCTCCAATGCTGATTCCAAATCTTAGCTATGATTTGTGCTGCTATAAACATAAAGGTGCATATATTCTTTCTAATTGTTGTTTCAGTTTCTTGGGATATTTCGTAGAAGTAGGTTCACTGGGTCAAATGGGTTCCATTTTTAGTTTTTTGAGGAAACTCCATACTGTTCTCCACAGTGGCTGCACCAGTCTGCATTCCCACCAGCAGTGCAAGAGGGTTCCTTTTTCTCTCCATCCTCACCAGTACTTTTCATTTGTTGATTTGTTGATGATAGCCATTCTGACAGGTGTGAGATGGTACCACATTGTCCTTTTTATTTGCATCTCTGGGATAATTAGTGACTTTGAGCATGTTTTCATGTTTCTCTAGGCCTTCCTTCTGTCTTCTTTCGAAAAGTATCTATTTAGATCTGTTGCCCATTTTTTTAATTGGATCATTTATCTTCCTTTCATTAAGATGTATGTGTTCCCTTGAATGATGGAGATTAAACCATTATTGGTAATAACATGTCCATCTATGCCGCTGTCATTTTGTCCTCTCTCCTATTTTTTATTCTTCTAAAGGGATTTTAGAGGGAGGAAGGGAGAAGGAAAGGGAGAAACATTGCTATGAGAGAGAAACATTAATTGTTGATTGGTTGCCTCCCCATGCACCCCAACTGGGGATGCAACCCATAACCTGAATATGTGCCCTGATCAGGAATCAAACCCACCACCGTGGACAATTCTCCAACCAACTGAGCAACTTCAGCCAGGGCCTGTCTTGTCATTTTGCATCTGTGATAACATACCTTTGGAATGGCTGGGTAATTTCCTCTTCCAGACCAATCATGGCACAAGCACTGCGCCAGAGCCGAGACCACGACACCCCTCATTGTTATCATTATTGTGTTAATTGTTAACTGCTAACTATGCTGTACCCACCAATGTAAAAGAAGCATGTGTCTACTCATTTTACTCTTTATACAGTCACGAGGTTTCCCACTTTGTGCGTCCTCCCACCTCCCTCATCTATCACCAGTGAATTTCATGTAGCCCCTTAGGCGTCCTCCTTTGATTGTAATGTATAAAACAAGGTGCAAATCTGCCATTCTCCTTTCTCAACCCATTGCAATTTTGCTTCCTGGCAATTTTCATCAGTTTGGCTCAAATAAACTCATAAAAATTCTCCACAGGTCTCGGCATTTCTTATGTTGACAAACCGTCCCTACTATCAGAGAGGTATCACTATCTTTACTGAGGTAAAAATCTGCCCTTGAAAATAAATCATTAGCACAGCCACAAAATGGAATTCAGGAGCCCAGGCCAACAGTTACTAACATTTCATCTCACTTTTTACAGCGTGAATCCTGAGGGACGGTGAAAACCTCTCACTGCAGACTATTTCAGGCAGCCGCACTGGGGGAACACAGTAGGGGCGGATTAGGCTTTAGTGATCGGGAAGGTACAAAAGGTCAGGTAGCCTCTACCCCTTCTGGTGCAGCCGGGTGGTGGTGGGGTTGTTCTTTTTATGTTTTAAAATGGGGATAGAATGAGGAAAAAGAGGATTTATGGGGTTAATTTGCATGAGAATAGGAGATTGGAGAGCTGAGGAATGTCAGGGAAATTTGTATGTTCACTAAAGACCACTAGGGCTTTATGTTAATCAGAAAGAGAGGGAGCACAAAGAGAAACCAAGGTAAATTGTAAGTCTATGATGTCCTTTTTTTCTTTTTTCTTTTTTTCTAATCTAGAAAATGACAGATTCCTCCTGAACAGTTGGCAGCACTGAAAACCTTTGATTTAATCTATATTCTTTTTCTTCCAGGGTGCTAGTTGGAA